TATATGTTATTGTTAATGTTTTGAATTTTATCCTTTGGGCAATGGGAAGCCAGTGGAGGGATTGGCAGAGAGGGGTGGCAGATATGGAAAGATTAGTGAGGTGGATGAGTCTGGCAGCAGCATTCATGATGGACTGATATTTTTAAAAAAAGTTCTCTTCCTCCTCCTCCTACCTACCCTGTGTAAAAAGATCTTCGAACTTATCTCTTTTTAGTCTGGTCATGTGATCCTGCAGCTCCGGCTCCCCTGTGTCACTGGGTGCTTGACAACAGCTGGGAATTTCAGGAGCTGTGACATCACTCATAGACTCCCTTGGCCCAGCTGTTGTCTGCACTCCCTCCTCTCCCCTGCAGCTGCTGCACTGGAGCAGATCTTTTTATACAGGGTAGGCAGGATAGGTAGGAGGAAGAGAGAGGGAACATTTTTAGTTAGTGTTAGGCTTGAACTCTACTTTAAATGAGATATTCCCTTAGACCTTACACATGGCACTAGGGTGTCTGCTGACTTCTTCCTGAAATGATATTGCCATAGCTGCAAGTTGTCACCTAAACACACCCTTGTCCATTTATGTGTGTACATGTTGTGTGGGAGTTTCTTATGTATAGAACTGTTATAAAGAGAAGAAAGGTTTTCAATGCTCCGTTTCCTCAAACACACTAGAAACAAGTACACTCACTGGCCACTTTATTAGGTACATCTGTTCAATTGCTTGGAAACACAAATTGCTAATCAGCCAATCACATGGCAGCAACTCAATGCATTTAGGCATCTAGACGTGGTAAAGACAATTTGCTGAAGTTCAAACTGAGCATCAGAATGGTGAAGAAAGGGGGATTTAGATGACTTTGAACGTGACATGGTTGTTGGTGCCAGATGGGCTGGTCTGATTATTTAAAAAACTGGTGATCTACTGGGATTTTCACACACAACCATTTCTAGGATTTAAAGAGAATGGTCGGAAAAAGAGAAAATATCCAGTGAGCGTCAGTTGTGTGGACAAAAAAATGCCTTGTTAATGTCAGAGGAGAATGGGCAGACTGGTTGCTGTGACATTCAGATGGCAGGGTCAGAATTTGATGTAAACAATATGGAAGCATGGAATCATCCTGCCTTGTATCAATGGTTCAGGCTGGTGGTGGTGGTGTAATGGTATGGGGGATATTTTCTTGGCACATCAAGGTGTGCCTAATAAAGTGTCTGGTGAGTGTATACAACTCTTGTACCTTTTGATTGTAATCTGAGTAAAGGTTGTAGTATAATTTATTGTTCTTTTGTTCTAAGTATTCTTTTCTGATTTATACAGTATTGGGGCTTTCATTCCAAGTATGTAGTGACAGGGCAGTCAGTGAGCAGTATGAAGTGACAGGGTAGTCACTGAGCAGTAAATAGTGGCAGGCTAGGGCAGTATGTAGTAGCAGGGCAGTCATTTAGCAGTATGTAGCGGTGGGGTGTTCAGTGAGCAGTGTTAATGGCAAAGCAGAAAGTAGTTTGTAGTTGTAGGGTGGTCAGTAAGCGGTATATAGTGGCAGGCAAGGACAGTATGCAGTGGTAGGCATCAGTTAACATTATGTACTGTAGCGGCAGGGTGATCAGTGGGCAGTATGTAGTGACAGGGTGATCAGTGGGCAGTATGTAGTGACAGGGTGATCAGTGGGCAGTATGTAGTGCCAGGGTGGTCAGTGATCAGTGTGTAGTGCCAGGGCAGTCATTGAGCTGTATGTAGTGATAGGGCAGTAAACAATATGTTGTGGAAGGAATGCCAGTGAGCAGTATGTAGTGGCAGGGCCGTAAGTGAACTGGGCAATATGAAGTGGCAGTGCAGTCAGTGAGCAGTATGTAATGATGGCCAGTGAATAGTATATAGTGGCAGGGCATTCAGAGACTAGTATGTAATGGTAGAGCAGCCAGTTAGCTGTATGTAGCGACAGGGCAATGAACAGTATGTAGTGTCAGGCAGAATGTAGGCTAGTGGCAGGGTGCTCAGTCACTTACTGTACAGCTTCAGCCGTGGGATAATCCAGAATGAGGCAGCCACCTGTGGGAGGAGTGAAAGAGGCATCCACACCCCTAACTCCACCCACCAACTCTGACTGCCTGGGGAGATTTCCAACCCTAACTCAGAGGACAGGGGAGAGCTAAAACAGCCCCCCACCAGGCCCCCATGTTATTCTGATTGGTGCCCCAGTGCATATTTAGCCACAGTGACAGACATGCTCACTGAAGCTGTGGCTGGGCTCTCGGGACACAGCCCAAGACAAAGCAGTCATGGGACAGCTGACTTAAAGGTAGGACTGTCCCAGCAAATCCAGGACAGTTGGCAAGTACGCAAAATATGTATTGAAATTCTTGAAGGTTCTGTATGTGGCTGGGTGTCACTGTGGGGGATGGTGTTCTGAGGGGGGTTTGGGGGCAATGCAGCAGACTTGTTGGCACTGTAGGAGATTGTGGAAGGGGCTGGGGTCTCTGGAGTGGGCTGTGGATCTCTTCAGGAGGCTGGGGACTTTTCAAAGGCACTGTGGTAGACTGTGTACTTCAAGGCAGGTTGGGGACACTATGGAAGACTAAAGGATCTGCAGCAACTTAGGGGGCACTGCAGAGTTCTGAGAGACAATGTGGGAGGCTGAGGGCACCAGGGGGCTGAGGATGGGAGCTGGGAGGCACTGTGGGAGTTTAGGGGATATGCAGGTGGCTGCAGGCCCAAATGGGAGATACCACAACCCAGTAGTGAGCCAGGGTCTGGTGGAACTACTGATCTAAATAATCAAGAATAAGAATTTACTGGGAATTAGAATGGGCATGAAAAAAGACAACTAGGTAGGCTTACCTTTTTATATACCCTTTCCTCATATTACAAAACAGCCTCATGACCAGAAATTTACATTCAAGATGACACTCTGGATTTAGGTTTTGCATAAAAACATGTTGCACCGATGACTGGATATCCTATAAAAGTGATTAGTAGAGCAGAAGGCTTCATTTTGTTCTAGTTTATTTCTTCTGTAAAACCTGGATAATGATGGTATAATGATTACTTTTTAACAGGTTGAAGGGAAGTACCTCTACCTTTTCAGTACACAAACTTTATCAGAAGAACTGTTTTTTTCCTAAGCTTGTAATTTATGAAATCACTAAGAAAAAAAACCCTGTTCTGCAAAGCAATTTTTTATTTACCTTTCTAGTTATTCCACCTCTCCTAGATTGTAAGCTCCAAGGAGCAGGGCCCTCCTAACCCTCTTGTATTGAACTCTATTGTTGCTGTATTGTCTCCCGTTACTTTGTAAAGTGCTGAGCAAACTGTTGGTGCTATATAAATCCTGTAAAATAATAATAGTTGTTTCTTGAAAACATATTTTTTTCCTTAATTGTATTTTTATTAATTTTTAAAGAAACTAACATTGCAAAAATGTAATACAAGTACGATAAACAATGAAAATGTACACAATAAAGGTAGCATGACAATAAAGCAAAGGTGGAATCATGTGAAACATTCCATCTGAGCATACAATATACATTTGTATCATAAAAACAAAATAATAAAATTTATAGAAAATTATCCAGGTACCCAAACCTATATTTTTGTACCTGGATAATTTTCTATAAATTATATTTTATTTAATTTTATTTTTTTATGATACAAATGTTCTTTTGAGAAAGAACAGAATGCAATTCTGGTAGCAAATCACAAAGAAAGGGTAAGACATTTGAGAAAAGATGCAAATTCATCAGTTTAGCAGAAAGAGCATAAGGTCAGTGGGTAAGAGACTATATGGAGAGCATTCCCAGTTATCCCATGTCTGATGAAGTCATTTCAGGGTATCCTTTTTTTAGCCGCTAGGTGTTAGCTTGCTAAATGAATCTAAGATATGGTGCAAATTAGGTAACGTAACATAGGGGTCAATAACTGTCAACAAGATGTTGTCTGCAAACAGAGATGACTTATATTCCCTATGTCTCACCTTGATTCCATGTATGTTCATGTCTGAGTTTATTGCTTCTGCAAGTGGCGCCAGACATAGTATTAACATTAGAGGAGATCAAAAACACCCCTGATCCATGCCGTTATACATGGGGTAGGAATCAGAAATAGCATAAGGAATTTTAACCTGGTACTAGGGAGAGGAAAAGAAGCCTTGTATTGTTTTGAAAAGCAAGCCTTGATACCTAGGTATTGTAATGTAGAGAACATGTATGGCCTCCCTAACTTATCAAATACTTCTTGAGCGTCTAGACTTAGGCCGGCCATACATGGGTCGATTTCCTACCGATTTTTAATTCGAATATCGGACCTAAGAATAATTGACCAATTTTCGCTGTTAGTGGGGCAATGGCACTGGCCGATTTTCGTGGTTCCTCCCCATTTCGTTTATTGGGCATGTTGGAATATTCGTGAAAAACAACTGATTTTCGAAATCATTGGTGGCACCATTGTATTACAGAATGAACAACGTTTTCAATTTTCAATCGAAAAATCATTCGGAATTCACCCCATTTATGGCCTGCTTAAGCAGCAAAGCAAGGGTATTAGCTTTGTTTACCACTTCAACTTGAAGTTGATAGTTTGCCTGGTACTATCCCCAACTTGCCTATTAACCACTAGCCTACAGGGCACTTATACCCCCTTCCTGCCCAGGCCAATTTCCAGCTTTCAGCGCTGTCACACTTTGAATGACAATTGCGCGGTCATGCAACATTGTACCCATATGACATTTTTATCATTTTTTTGAGACTGACAGAGCTTTCTTTTGGTGGTATTTAATCACCTCTGAGATTTTTATTTTTTCTTAAACAAACCAAAAACCACTGAAAGATTTGAAAAAAAAATGTTTTTTTCTTAGTTTTTGTTATACAATTTTGTAAATAAGTGATTTTTCTCCTTCACTGATGTGCGCTAATGAGGCTGCAGTGATGGGCACTGATAGGCTGCACTGATGGACACTAATAGGTGGCAATGATGGGCACTGATGAGGAGGCACTGGTAGGTTGCACTGATGTGCATTGACAGGCATCACTGATGGGCACTGAAAGGCAGCACTGATACATGACACTGATAGGCGGCACTGACTGGCACTGTTAGGCGGCACTGACTGGCACTATTAGGCGGCACTGACTGGCACTGTTAGGCGGCACTGACTGGCACTGTTAGGCGACACCGACTGGCACTGATAGGCGGCACTGACTGGCACTGATAGGCGACACTGACTGGCACTGATAGGTGGCACTGATTGGCAGCACTGATTGGCATTGATAGGTGGCACTGACTGGCATTGATATGTGACATTGAAAGGCAGCTCAGATGGGCACTGATATGTGGCATTGATGTGCACTGGTATGCACTGATATGTGGCATTGATGTGGCACTGATGGGCACTGGCACATGGCACTGATGGGCACTGATAAGCACTGACAGGTGGCACTTCTGGGGCCATACTGATCATCAGAGCACACTGATCATCAGTGCCCTGATGATCAGTGTACATGTCCCCTCCACGGAAAGCCGATTACCGGCTCTCCTCTCCTCTCTCGAACTGTCAGCGTGTCAGCTGCGCGCTCCCTGAGCCACGCATGCGCAGTGAGAATGGTAGGACGTCATATGACGTCCTATCAGAATGAGAGAACCACCTTTTGCCCGTCATTGTACTATAGGGCGGGCGGAAGGTGGTTAAAGCAGAATTTCACTCTCTCAGTCAACATTAATTATATTTAATCTTTATTCTACTAGTTTTAGTAAATAGATAGGAATCTACATTATACTTTTGTATAAGTCTTTTCATTTCTTTAGTTACTTCCTGGTTTTCAGGCCTAGGAAAATTATGTCCTACATCCCAGAAATCTTCAGGAGGAAAGGAGGGGGTTTCTCAGCTAAGCACACCCTCCTCCCTGTATGCCTGAACTAAGGGCAGATGGATTTCAGGAAATAACATCTACATGAATCATCTGGCCTTACTCGAGATGGCCATGGCCAGAAATGCTAAGGGATGTTTCTCAAACTGATTTCTCAGCAAGATACAGCATTAAGACATGAATAGGTTAGTTTGGTTTGAGTATTACTCAAAACCAAATCCCAACAAGCCTTCACCCGCTGAATTAACGTGAAACTGAACTGCATCTGAGTACCACAAACCAAACGTGCTATATAATTAATTATTAATATTCAAAACAAACTCCTCTTCATGCTTTATTTTGCTGAGAAATTTAGAAAAATGCCCCCCCCCCCCAGCTTTTCTGGTAGTGGCCATCTTGTGTAAGGGCAGATGATTCATGTAGCAGTTACTTCCTGGAATCTATCTGTCCTTAGCTTAGGCGTTGGCTGAGAACCCTCCCTACCCTCATGAATATTCCTGCGATGTATGACATCATTTACCTAGGCATGAAAACCAGGAAGGAAATGAAAGAATGCAAAAAAAAGTTTAAAACAAGCAAATATGATATACTATTTATTTACTAATGGTAGCTGGATAGGTATTAGAAATATTCCATGTTTAAAGTTCCGCTTTAAATAGCATTTTTGCTTTGTGGTGCTCAGATGCAGTGTAGTTCTGCTTTAAGCAATGCTATGGGTCTATAATTTGTTGGGGAGGCAGTGGTATAACTGTAATAAAGGGGTGTAAAAGTTGGAAGTGTGGTATTTCTCCCCGAGTAAAGATTGTTATAAGTCTAAAAGATGGGAAGGAAGTACTTATAGTGAGCATAGGATAGACTGTCTGGTCCAGGAGACTTACTGTATGTAGAGAGCATTAATAACAGGCATGGGCTCTTCTTAAGTAATTTCTGCATTTAAAGAGGTTAAAGTGGTTATAAAGGCTCAAAGGTTTTTTTGCATGAAGGTAAAAAAACCTTCTGTGTGTAGCAGTCCCCCCAGCCTCCCCTACTTACCTGAGCCCCCTCTCGATCCATAATGTTCACGAGAGCCTTGGTTCTCCGGGGGACTCTCAACCCTGATTGGCTGAGGCAGCAACAGGAGCCATTGGCTCCCGCTGCTGTCAATCACAGCCAGTGAGCCAATTAGGAAGAGGGAGGGGGCTGGCCGATCTGCGGCTCTGTGTGGGAATCGACATGCAGAGCCGCAGCTTGGGAGTGCTCCTGCTTGGGTGCCCCCATAGCAAGCTGCTTGCTATGTGGGGCACTCAGCAGGAGGAAGGAGCCAGGAGTGCAGGCAGGGGACCCGGAAGAGAAGGATCGGGGTTGCTCTGTATTAACCCACTTCACATAGCAGGTGAGTATGACATGTTTGTTAAATTGTTTTTTAAATCAAGACTTTATTATCACTTTATGACAGCAGGCGATAATGTAAGCAAACTAAGGGGGGACATGAATCTATCAAACGCCTCTGACTGAAGGGGGGGGGGGGGATTGACATCTGTGTATAAGCAGTTGTATAGTTTACGGTTGTAGACAAGTACAGTTACCTACTTGGCCACTGGGTAGCTATGTGGTATAATGGTGTCTGATTACAGAAGACAGTGTGATTCAGGGACTAGGTGCTTTACAGGTAGAGCCCTTCTGCAGTGTTAGGGGGAGTCAACACCCATATATTTCAGGTAGGGAGAAGTACACACACACTTGGGGCATGGGAGCTAAACACCTGACACCTATATGGACGTAACCAGCACTTGTAGGCTCAGGAGTAGGTCTGTCTCTCGAGTAGCTGGCTGTAGTCTTTCTGTCCCTTATGGAGGTGGGGGCTAGGGTGGATTGCAAAAGGCTTTTTAGGCCAGGCCAAGCATTCCATGTGTGAGGCTGCTTCCTTGCGTGGTCCCAGGAGAGATGTACCTAGCCAGGAGGTGACTACGGAGAGCACATTTCTGTGAGTACTAATGACCCTGGGCAGAGGAGACACTATAAGGGAGGTTGCTGCTGAGGTGCTGCATATGCTTTCACTTGTGACTACTGCAGACCATCCACTAAATGTGATTGACTATGTCAAGTGACTCTGGAATGTATGTCCTTGTGATGTGACTGTTTTGCCATTCCCCAAATACAAGTAAAGTGCAGCAAAACTACTTTCATATGAGTACATTCCTGCCTTTGAAATATTAAGGTCAATGGCCAGGAATGTGGAGGCCTCTGGCAAGTAGCAGGTCACAAAATCATGGAAGATTTTGGAAAGACATTAGCGGGAGTGGGGACTTGGTGCCAAATACAGTCAACCACGAAGCTCCTCTTACACAGTAATAAGCACCAAAATTTTAGCTATTCACTGTGGTCAATATGTAGTACTGTTTGATTGAAACAGACATTCAGGGATGGATTGAGCAAGTCTAGCTTTAATTTTAATCATGAGCATTCTGTGAGACTTATGTGAACATTTGTAGAATTTTTATTGCCTTGATTTGGTTACGTAAAGAGGTAACAATGCGAAGACGAGCTACAGTGGGTGAGGCAATCAGCTGAGAGTCTGCCTTTTGTAATTGCTGCAAAAGCTTACGTTTATGATGCTTAACATCTCATTTCAGCCACCTACCTGCAGAGATGCATTGGCCTCGTAAAAATACTTTGTGTGCTTCCTACAAAGCAGATGCTTTAGATGCCGTGCCACCATTCAAGGGGAACAATTCCACCACAGCTGCTACTAAACGCTCCTGAACATCAGTGGCATATCCTAGGCGTATTATTGGAAATGACTAGATCTAGGACTATGGAGGCATGTTCTAACCCCGTGATAGAACAGATATCAGAGTTGGCTGTAAGTTTGAGCAGCGGGGCTGAAATGAAAAAGTCAGCTAACCTAGAATAGACTTCATGTGCTGGTGAATAAAAGGGGAACTGTTTGTGGAGAGGATGTTTAATCCTCCAAAAAGATGATGTTCTAATAAGTGTGTGGAAGCACTGGGTGAGTTTACTTAGTTGATTAATGCCCCCCGACAGTATCTGTCTATCCCTATGGGGAGACATAATTAAGTTGAAGTCTCTACTACACAATAGTATATGGTGTAGAGCGGGGGTCGGCAACCCTTCAGTCGCAGTCTACCTATCGACTGTGGGCAGGTGACAGGCCGCAAACAGGTACCTGCGCTTCCAAACCCCCGCCTTTTTGTTGCTGGTCCCCCCTTTCATATTAACCTGCAGATGATAGGTTGGTCCTAGCAACCAATTACCAGCTTGTTAATATGAAAAGTTAATTTGGCCAGCTCCTCCTCCCACTTTCCGTCCTGAGCCCTGCTGTTTTCTGCTATCCACTGTGCACTGAGAATGTCAGCAGCAGCAGGGGAGGCTGGGGGAAAGGGGGGCAGAAGACATTTCTGGGGGAGATGAAGGGGGCCAGAAGTCACTGCTATGGGGAAAGAGGGGGCAGAGGACACTACTGGGAGGGGGGAGGTGATATGCAGAGTACACTGCTATGGGCATGGCCACACCCATAGCAGTGTCCTCTACCACCCTTTGCATCACCCCCCCAGCAATGTCTTAGGGCACCAGGGTAGCTGGGGGGCAGAAAAATCCCAATCCCCAGCCACTTGCTGGGAGTTCAGATTTTTAAAATACCTGCCTTCCAATGATCCCCTTTATTGTCCACCTGGATCAGCTGAAAGCTAGCATCTCCTCCTTGCCCTCCCACCAGCGTACAGCTGCTACAAGAGGAAAATCCAGGGGATCAGTTCTAGTAAACACCTCCCCTGCTGCCCCTCTCATCCTTGTTCCTCCTTTTTTCTGCTGCCTGGCCCTTCCCCCAAGTTCTCACCTTTCAACAGGGCTCCTAAAAAAATTGTGAAAAACATTAACAATTTAAAAATAAAAACTACTGACACCATCCAGTGCCCTACTGACACCAACCTCTGCCCTACTGACACTGTCCACTGCTCTACTGACACCATCCACTGCTCTACTGACTGATACCAACCTCTGCCCTACTGACTAAGGCTAAGTTTGTATTTTTACAGTGTCATTTGTTTTATTATATTTTTCTACATTTCCCTTGCTATTTAGTTAGGCCTTGCTAGTTATTTATTTTTTTAAATGGCGCTGAACCTTGGTGATCTTTGATCTCTTTCATGTTGTTCAGGTAGATCTCCACTTCTCAAAGGTTGCCTACTCGTGTTCTAGAGAATGGAAGAAGTTTATCTAATGTTTGATGAGGAAATTGAATTTGGCCTACATTAGGGGCATACACATTCAACGAACTGAGAAGGGTACCTGCAAATCTGCAGTCCAACAATATACTGTATATCATCCCTGTGGGTCCAATTTGGAGGAGAGTACTGTTAAAGGGCAAGTGTTTTTAATCAAAATAGCAACCCCTGCTTTTCCAGAGGGATCTGATGATATATAGGATAATGAAAAATGTTTCTAAGCAATCTTGAAAGAACCTTCCCCGCAGAAATGCGTTTCTTGAATCATGATTACATCAGCTCTAGAATCTTTAAATTCCTAGCCATCTCTTTATGATGGAATGTAAGCCTTT